CTGATAGGGACAGATGGTCCCTGAAACATCGGTGAGTTTTCTACGATTTGACACAGCTGATAGCCTGAGAGGATTTTATTAATGATGCATTTTAATGACAGCTTTTGCTTTATTTAAATTTGTAAATAAGATATCCTTCTTCCTATAAAAATGAGTAAATGAATCCATGGAACAAACAAAATAATAGTGCTTAAGCATGGGATCAGTTAAGCATTCTTGTGCATGTTGCTTAGATCAAACATTAAGGTTAGGAGCAAAGAATGTAGGTTTGTCTTTAAACTTGCTGACATACTCATTTCAGTTGTATAAATTTATTGATGCTTTTTAAGTAGATAAATATATTACCTATGCCAGCCATAAAAAGAATAGAATTTAATTATTTATTTCTTTGGTCCTGTTGTCACAGAGGTATATGGACATTAGTTGTTCATTATTTGTTTCAGAATAAACATAAAATCAATATTACCTGTTCATTTTTAGTATCAGTAAGAAAGTTAATTTTCTAGTAAAGCTAATGTTGTTTAGTTTTTGAGGTCACAAAGACTATAAAATAAATAAGATTCAGAAATAGGCATAAATATGAAATAGGTTGGGAGGTAAGACCTTTATAGCTTGCATCCTAATTTTCCAGGAATAACTATCAAAATAGGAACTTCAGCAGCAATGAAACAGTTTTTATTGTCTTTGAGAATGTCCAAAAAATCTGTGGAATGTACAGCAGCTAGAGATGAATTAGAAAGCTGTCCTGCATACCTTTCAATAGGATCTTATTCTTCCTCAATAAATTTGTGTTTGACATCATTACTAAAATGACTGTGTCAGTGTTTTTTACATAACGTCATGTATTAAATATAATGTGCAGATAATTAGTGGCTTTTATTTTACATTCCACACAGAAGTTGCAGCAATTGCTCTCATAGTGTATAATTTGTACAGACAATTCCATGCAGTGAAATTATGCTGCCCAAGCAGCCGGTTTGAACTGTATCATATATCGTGTGCTGAGATTTGATAGGGTATGTGGTGGGTTAATTTGTGCACCAGTTGGTGGTGAAACATAGATAATTCCTGTATTATATAAACCAGTGACAATATGAGTTGGATATAATGTTACTTTGTGTCGTCAGAACATTCTGAAATATTGATCTTGTGTTAAGTGTGTAGGTATTACAAATGTGTATTAAACCTCTCTTTGGAGAGAGAAAACTAAAAACTGGAACAATGCAAACTTGTTATATAGCATTAAAATTTTATGAAAAGGAAATGATTAAATGGATTTTGTGGCAAACATGTATATTACTGGTATATAATCAGTATTTTTCTTACTGATGATGGTGGTCGGACTGAAAATTCCCTGTTTGTTTTTGTGCACTTGCTCTAGTTGAGGTAGTTTAATTTCCTGTAGATGATTATTTATTTTTATTATTATTATTATTTCTGAAGATTGAATTAGTTTTATTTTGCCCACTTCCTTGTGTCAAGTTTTGGATGGATGCATAGTTAGCCTTTTGTTATCGTTATGCTTCCTCCGTATCTATCTGTCTCTCTCCCCAGAAGAAGAATGGGAGAAAGAGCTTGAAGCAGAGTTGCAAGATTATGAAGTGGTTGCTGATGGAAATGGTCACCAGGATTCCAACTGGGAGAATCAGATCCAGGAGATGTTGGATGCAGAAGAGGCGTCCTCAAGTAGTGAAAACTAGCTCAGTTTATAAACAGAGATTTTGGGAAGAATTACACTATTTCTCCAAAATTACTTCTCTGTCCAAAGAAAACATATGACTGTTAAAATATAATATATAAATAGCTAGTGTAACTGCACTTTGGTGAACATATGTATGTTGATGTTTATTTTTCTGTTTTGTTTTGTTTTGTTTGGAGACTTGAATGGAAAGAATTTACTATGGCCATCAGTCTCTTTAAGTTGCATAACATTTTATAGTCAATGAAAGGGTTTGTATGTATATTCTTATTTTAGTGGCTGGTGAATGTGGATCATGCTGTTGGTAAGTGTATATACTGTATTTGTGGTTCTGCGTGTCTGTATCTCTCAACATTGTACATTATAGCTGTCATTCTGCTCTGAGTGTGAGGTTAGGTTTTTATACTTTTCTTTATGATTACATTTTGTGTATACAGATCCACTTGACAAGCCTTCTCAAAAGTCATTATAAACTCCTTCCATATAACACCAGTTTTCACCTGCTCCTGTTCTGTGAAATTTGCCAGGTGTTCTGCTAGTGTGTATGAATAAACTTGTCTATGGCCTCGGTCTTTTGAAAGTTGTAACCAACTTGTTAAAACGGTGTTGAGTTGTTTATCTTTTTGTGTCCTTTCCTATCACTGTGATTGTACACATTTTGATGTCACTTTTCTGCAGGCATTCCATTTACCCCCTAACATTACATGGAGAAATGTGATCAATCTTTTGCTGTAAAAAGAAAAACAATTAAAATGTGTAATTAGGTAGTGAAATCCCTGTCACCTGTAGGAAGTCATATAAAGCTTGGATCCTTATTAAAAGCAGAGTTTGCTTCTGAGATTAGTCTGTTTTACACCATTCTTCAGAATCATTCCTCAGAAACCTTACATGTTGATTGTAATGATAAGACAATGTGTCCTTACCTTATGCTACCATACTTAACCCTTCTATTGCCATTTATGAGTATGCTTGTTGCCAAATGTGTTTATTGTATGACAAACCAAGAGAAAAATTTTTGTTCAAATTATTTCTTGCATAGCAAACCATGTTCATATTGCTTCTAAGAGTGTAATACAAGAAAATAACTTGCTTGGGACTTTGAAAGTGTGTCAGTGGAAGGTGAGTTTATGATTTGAAATTTAAACATTATTGCGAGTTCTGAAGCAGAGGTGGCATCGCTATAAAGGTTTTCCTCCCTTCCCTATATAACAACTGCACCAATATTTTTTTTATTTCTTAGCTTGGGTTCTTCATCAGGAACAATGTGTATAATAGGAAGGTGTGTGGTGCAGTGATAGAGTTTTGTGAATGGATAATTGTGTGCATGACATAAGTTGATGACTGTTGTGTATATGCGTAGCAGTTAACTATGTAACACTATACAGATTGTAAACAGACATAATAATATGTTTCCACTCCATCACATGAGAAAATTATAATTTATTAGGTTACCATTCTTCCAGTACATTTAAAATTATGTTTATTTTTAAAAAACTATGTGAATCTCATATTTGTTAGGAACATTATGGTATCCCAGTATATGTATAACAGTAAACTATTCATGTATCTTGTGGAAATACATTTACTGAACAAGGTATTCCACTGTTAATGCTTCTCTTTTAAACTGTTCACTGTGTTCCAGTCCACATCCCAAAAAATTCATATCCTTCATCTCTTCTAAATGTATGGGACTTACTGACTTTTTATGAGGTTGTCACAACTGGTTCATCCATCCCCTTGATTTTACAATGAATATTTTTGACCTTAAACATATATGTTATGTTTTCTGCAGATACTCTGCTTTATATGGCACGTTTGCTTTAGAGGTATCATAAAGTGGTTAGTAATCCACATTGTACATGTATGTATATTTCTTTATTGCATTGAGAAATCCTGTAAGGCAGTTTTGTGTCCTACTGTGACATTGACAAATGTCAAGGCGCATGTCATCAACAACATAGCCTACATTTACACATGTTTGTTAAAAGGTGACAAAATAAGTACATTTTGCCAGTAGCTTCATAGGTACCAAAATGAGAATGGCAGACCAAATGGAGCAACAGCTGTGCTAAGTCAGGATACTGAGAGCACAGTATTCATTGTCTCCATGTGATCTGCTAATTTACGAGGTGCGATCGGAAAGTTTC